CATTGCCCTTTTATTGCTGTTTTTCTTTTTCTGCCAAACAATGTTCAAAAATATTTACTTGTCATTTACAGGAACTAAATATCAAGGTCATAAACTTTACCTTCCATTCCATTGCATCTTGCCTTTCGATAATCGCCCATCAAGTTCAAATGAGCAGCCCTTTAAATTATTTTATTTGTTAATAATCCTATTGATATTTCAGGAATGTCTAAAGAACGAAGGACATGTGGAGATTGGACTGCTGGATCTCTCAGTGACACAGCCACATCATTGTGGCAAAGTGCTTATTATTATTAGAAATGAAGACATATCAGGACACCTGCACCAGGTGAGTGGCCCAGCAATTCACCTCAAACTGTAGGGGCTCTTGGGGTGCCATGGTAATGTCCCTACCTCTAAATCAGGAGGCTTGAGTTCAAATCCCACCTACTCTGGAGATGTGTAATAATATCTCTGAACAAGTTGGTTAGGAAAGTATCTTGCCTTAAACCAACACAACAAAGATTTTTTAATGGAAAGACATTTTCATAAAGGATATATACTTGAGCATAGAAAACGCAACCGCCTTGTTGTATCAGGTACAAGACTTACGAAGATCCCGGAAAGATCTTGTGTCAGATTCAATTTTGAAATATTATCATGGAATCATACATTACAAATAGGAGAACAATTGGCCAATCTTACTCGTGCCCACTCTTCTATCCAATTTGCTGCATTCCCCTGCTCTGTCCCTACAGTTCTGAAAATGGTTCCTTTTCCAGCTATACAGTTTGTTCTGCCAATTATCTCAAGTCTGTGTCCTCTAGTTACTGCACCCACTGTTAGTGGGAATGACGGATAATTATTAACACCTTTTGTTAAATCTTTCCTCAATCCTCCCAATTGCAAGGAGACCAATTGCAACTTCTCTGGGTTGCTCACACATGTTATCTATTAAATTCTTAAAGAAATCATTTTCTCATTGTAGTATGAATTTTGACGTGGAGCGATGCACACACATTTGGTTGGCACAGATTAAATAATTCTAACATTTCACAAGTTACCATTATATTCTGATGTTATATTTGTGATGATTTTTGTTGAAACAAATAATACACTTAACATGCTTTTGCCTTTTACGTGTGACATCATTACACGTATACTGGAATAATTTTTGTTTTGGGACCATTTCCTAGATTCCGCATTTATTGGCTCTGAAACAGATGCCATGTGTTCAGTTTGCTGGTGTGGATAGTGCGGAAGATATAAAAGACCAAACATTTCAAGAGTTATTTAGCTCTGGAGGTTTTGTTGTTTCTGATGGGACAGTGCTGAACAATGTAACTCCAGGTAGGTGCAATAGTTTTTAATGTGTACAACATTTCCTTAAGCAAAGTTAAGGCTATATTTCTCAACATGTTGACTATAATTCTTATCACTGTGTATTGCCTAAATATGAAACAAGCTTAAATTTAATTTTAATGATAAATAATTTTACAAAATTACAAAGCAATGTTGATTGTTGAAACTGGAAAGCTTTATTCCCTGAGCTGGTTGGCTTTAATTACTGGTGTAAAATGGGATTATTGATGATATATGGCACTTTTTGAATGTGAAATTTGTTAAATTAGAATAGCATTGTGCATGGTACTATTAAATGGCTTTCACAAAATCAAATAACTATTTCAGTAGCTTAAAAGGATATAGAGGAAATACCTTTAAAGGAGGGAGGCGGTTGTATCCGATCTACAAATTAGTTTACTTACAGGCTATCTTCTGGAAAGTCTGAGAGAATATGGAGTCACTGATTCAGGGGAAGGAGTGGAAAATGATAAAACTTGTATACATTGTGGTAACTGTAATCAGCTGCCAGACGGAAAGACTAATGCTCAGTTGTGGGAGTCTCTGTAAGATCAGACTATTCCAAATACAATGTAATGGTTGGTGCAAGCAGCCAATGTCAGGTGTGATTGATCGAAACTCTGTACCGTTATTAAATTTAAAAATTAATTTCAAGGCGAAAGCGGTCCTCTAGGTGGAGCAATCCCTAACTGCTACTCTCAGATATCCGTCGCTCCCCATTGAAATCCAATTGAATAGGGGTTCTTGTTCAGAAATTCCCTTCGCTACAGTAGGTTTTGCTACTTAAGAAATTTGAAATCACTATTTTTAAAAAAAAAATCAGACAAGAAGGAGAAAATGGCAGTAAAGAAACTGTTTCAAAGTAAAGGATACTTAATAAAAACATATTATTACAAACCATTATACTATAACTTTGAAATGAACTCTAGAAACTAAATGTATGGAGGTTTAAAGCATTTTTGTCTGAAATTCCTCCCATTTATTCTAGTGCTAGCATTAACCATGTCTTTTTTGCTGGTTTTGACATTCAAGGAATGTGAAGTTGAACAAATACTTTGGAACTGTTCTGAGATACTGAACTGCCATGTTCTAATGGGATAGTAAGGAAAGCTTGAGAGGCTGAATGGTGATTTTCTCTTCCTGTGTTATCATATATCTAAATAATTGGATTAATAACTTAGTTAAATTATTGGAGCAGGAAAACACAGGCTGATGAATTAATTATTTACATGGAAACATCAGCACCTAAGATTTGCCATCTTTTTTGTTTGGTCGTTCCTGTTTCTGTTCATGTTTAGTTTGTTATTGCAACTAAAAGTACCAACAGCATCAGCCAATGAGCTTGAACAGTAGAGATGGCTAATTAGCCTGAAAATGCTTCAGCCCGAATTGACATTACACCAGCACTCGCTGAGTCCACTCTCTCAGTAGACAGTATGCTTCCAGGTTCGGCATTGCTGTGTGGTAGCCCTGTCTCCAGGCCTATCTTCCATCAAAACTGGCCCCTTATTGGGAGGGTGAATTTATTGGCTTCTACAACTTCTACTTATGTAGCACACTTTAATGTGGCAAAATGCTCCCAAGGGTTTTTACAGGAGCATTATGAAACAAAATTTACAATGAATCACAGAAACATAGAAAGTAGGAGCAGGGAGTAGGCCATTCTGCCCTTTGAACCTGCACCACCATTCAATATGATCATGTAACTCAGTCCCCTGCTCCTACTTTCTCCCCATACCCTTTGATCCCTTTAGCCCTAAGAGCTATGTCTAACTCCTTCTTAAAAGAATTCAATATTTTGGCCTCATCTGCTTTCCCAAGGCTCACAGTTGTCTGGGTGAATTATTAGTTCCTCATCTCAGTTCTAAATGATCCAGCCCATATTATTGGACATGTGATTGTTACCCGTGACCAAAAACTTGGTCAAGCAGAAACAAAAACAGAGAAAAGCTCACCTGGTCTGGCGGCATCTATGGAGAGCAAGCAGAGTTAGCAGTTGATCTTCCCTGTCTTGCTGTCAACCATCCCTTTGTCTGCCTAACTTCTTTTTTTTTCTCTCTCTCTCTCTCTCTCTCTCTCTCTCTGGGCTCTGTCTCCACCTATCTGCTCACTCCTTTTCACCCCCACTTACCACCTTTTCATAGCTATTATCAGTTCTGAATAAAGATTACAACTGAACTCGAAATGTTAACTCTGGATTTCTCTCTCCACAGATGCTGCCAGGCCTGCTGAGTTTCTCCAGCATTTTCTGTAATTGTTTCAGATCTTCAGCATCCACAATTCTTTATTCTATTTTACTTGGTCAAGCAGGTTGGTTTTAATGACCATCTTAAAGAAGTATTTCAAATAATATCAGTCACATTAGACCAAGTCACATTAAGAGACAATAAAACAGAGGAGCAAATAACTGTCCAAAGAGAGAGGTCATAAAGGTCTGCAGCATGGAAACAGACCCTTCGGCCCAACTAGCTCATGCCGCCCAGTTTTCAGAATTAAACTAGTCCCATTTGCCTGTGTTTGGCCCATATCCCTCCATATTTATCCCATCTATGTACCTGTCTAAATGTTTCATAAGTGACAAAACTATACTAGCTTCTACCACTACCTCTGACAGCCTGTTCCAGACACTCACCACCCTCTTTGTGAAAAAAATTGCCCCCTGGACTCTTTTCTACCTCTCCCCTCTCAACATAAACCTATACCCTCTAATTTTAGACTCCCCCACCACGGATAAAAGCTATTGGCTATCAAATTGTGTATGCCTCTCATGATTATACAGACATCTATAAGGTCACCCCTCAGTCTCCTACACTCCAGGGAAAAAAAAAGTCCCAGCCTATCCAACCTCTTCCTACGCTATGAGTATTAAAGGAGGGATGTATTTAGAAATTTAAGGATATGAAGAATTGAAGGATATTTAGTCTTGGAGGGAGGGCAGGGTGGTTGAGGAACTAAGGGTAGTACTCCCTAGAATTTAGCTTAAAGAATGAATCGGGTATAAAGCATAGATTGCCCAGGTTGTGGATTCCAACAGGAGGCATGGTCTTTCAAAATTACAGCTAGAATTTTCAGGAGTAAATTAGGAAACCTTTTTAACCCAAAGGAGGGTAAAGGTTTGGAATTCAGTTCAGCAAACAAATGGTGATGCTAGATTAATGGTTAATTGTCTGCCTGAGATTGCAAGATTTCTGTTAACCCAAAGTATGAAAGGTTAAGGAAAGGCAGATATGTGGAGTTAGTTCACAGATCAACCATCATCCCTTTGAATTGTTGAACAAATTCTGAATGGTCTACTCTTGTTGTCATACCAGGAGAAAACTGGAAAGTTTGGGGCAAAGGAAGCCAAGGACTGAGCCGTCAATGTTGGGGTGATGAGAAACAGGGATATGCGTGAAGCCAGAGTTGGAGGAGCATAGAACAGAGCTCCTGGGAGATTGTAAGACACAGCAGAGATATCCTTGTATATTAATTTGGCTCTCCATTTTGTTGTGTTCATACTTCTCTTAATCACAGCTTCTAATGACATATTGGCTGTGTTTGATCTTGAAACAAAGAAAACTCTGCAGCAGAACAAAAGGATGTTAAGCTCGATCACAATTCTTTGCAGCAGTTTCACTGTAAAACAGAGGTTTTGATTATCAGGCAGTTCTCTTACTCCACCTCACTCCATTTTTTCTGCACCTTTTATATGTTATGGGAACAAAGGAACAGGTGTAGGCCATTCGGCCCCTCGAGCTTGTTCCGCCATTCAGTGAGATCATAACCTAACTCCATGTACCTGCTTTTGGCCCATGTCTCTTAATACCTTTTGCTTAACAAAAAAATTATCTATCTCAAATTTTAAATTAACAACTGATCCAGCATCTGCTGCTTTTTGTGGAAAAGAGTTCCAAGCATCTACCACCCTTTGTATCTAGGAGGGCTTCCTAACATTTCTCCTGAACGGTCTGGCCCCAATTCTCAAACTATCCCCTCTAGTTCTAGGATCCTCAACCAATGAAAATGGTTTATCATTACCTATCCTGTCCTTTCCTGCTAATATTTTGAAGGGGTTGAGAGAGATGCAGTTCTGTCCACTATATCAGTTAAATGTCTAATCTTTGTGTGCACACTGAAGGACAGAGCGCTAGCAGACTTCCTGATGTGGGGTATTGCAGTTTACACTGGTCTGCCAGACCTTAACATCTAATAATGTGCAGTTCCTAACAGGAATTACTGAAAAGTGTTGCTGAACGGGAATACATCCTACAGCAATACTCTTCCCCATCATTTCATTCAAATCATTGCCAATCGTTGGAAAAACTCATCTGGTTCACTAATATCCTTCAGGGATGGAAATCTGCCGTCCTCGCTTGGTCTGGCCTACAAGTGACTCCAGACCCACGGCAATATGGTTGACTTTCAAGTGCTCCTTGAAATGGCCTAGCAAGCCATTCAGTTGTACTAATCATGACAAAGTCTCAAAGAAATGAAACTGGATGAATCACCTGGCATCGACCTAGGCACTGGAAAAGACAACGGCAGAAACAGCCCTGTCGACCCTGCAAAGTCCAGTCTCACATAGCCTGACATAGTCATGCTCATGGAATCAAACCTTACAGACAATGTCCCAGACACCACCATCACCATCCCTGGATAAGTCCTGTCTCACCGGCAGGACAGATCAGCAGAGGTTGTGGTACAGTAGTATACAGTATGGACTGAGTTGCCCTGGGAATCCTCAACATTGACTCCACACCCTAGGCTTCAGGTTAAACATGAGCAAGGAAACCTCCTGCTGATTACCACATACCATCCTCCCTCAGCTGATGAATCGGTACTCCTCCATGTTGAACAACACTTGAAAGAAGTAGTGGGGATGGCAAGGGCACAAAATGTACTCTTGGTGGGGGATTTCAATATGTGCCAAGAGTGGCTCGGCAGCAGTATTACTAATCGAGCTGGTCGGGTCCTACAGGACATAGCTGCTAGACTGGGTCTGTGGCAGGTGGTGAGGGAACCAACAAGAGAGAAAAACATACTTGACCTCATCCTTACCAATCTGCCAGCTGCAGATGCATCTGTCCATGACAGTATCGGTAAGAGTGACCATTGCACAGTCCTTGTGGAGATGAAGTCCCACCTTCACATTGAGAATAACTTCCATAGTGTGTGGCACCATCACTGTGCTAAATGGGACAGACTTCAAACAGATCTAGCAACTCAAGCCTTGGCATCCATGAGGCGCTGTGGGCCATCAACAGCAGCAGAATTGTACTCCTGCACAATCTGTAACTTCATGGCCTGGCATATCCCTCACTCAACCATTACCATCAAGCCAGGGGAATCAACCCTGGTTCAATGGAGAGTGCAGGAGGGCATGCTAAGAGCTGCACCAGGTATAACTGAAGATGAGGTGTCAACCTGGTGAACCCACCAAACAGGACTACTTGCACACCAAACAGCAAAAGCAGCAAGTGACAAACAGAGCTAAGCGAGCCCACAATCAAAGGATCAGATTTAAGCTCTGCAGTCCTGCTACATCCAGTAATGAATGGTGGTAGAGGATTAAACAACTCACTGGAGGAGCAGGCTCCACAAATATCCCCATCCTCAATGATGGGAGAGCCCAGCACATCAGTGCAAAAGATAACGTTGAAGCATTCACAGCAATCTTCAGTTAGACGTGCCGAGTGGATGATCCATCTCGACCTCCTCCAGTGGTTCCCAGCATTACAGATACTAGTCCAAAGCCAATTCGATTCACTCTGTGTGATACCAAGGAATGGTTGGAGACACCGGATACTGCAAAGGCCACAGGCCCTGACAACATTCTGGCAAGAGTACCAAAGACGTGCTCCAGAATGTGCCATTCCCCTAGCCAAGCTGTTCCAGTACAGTTACAGCACTGGTATCTACCCGACAATATGGAAAATTGCCTAACTATGTCCTGTGACAAAAAGCAAGACAAATCCAAACTGGCCAATTACCACCCCATCAGTCTCCTCTCGATCATCAGTAAAGTGATGGAAGGTGTCATCAACAGTGCTATCAAACAGCACCTGCTCAGAAATAACCTGCTCAGTGATGCCCAGTTTGGGTTCCACCAGGATCACTCAGCTCCTGACCTCATTACAGCCTGGGTTCAAACATGAATTCCAGAGGTGAGGTGAGAGTGACAGCGCTTGACATCAAGGCTGCATTTGACTGAGTGTGGCATCAAAGAGCCCGAGCAAAACTGGAATCAATGGGTATCAGGGGACAAACTCTCCAGTGGTTGGAGTCATACCTGACACATAGGAAGATGGTTGTGGTTGTTGGTGGTCAGTCATCTCAACTCCAGGACATATCTGCAGGAGTTCCTCAGGGTAGTGTCCTAGGACCAACCATCTTCAACTGCTTCATCAATGACCTTCCCTCCATCATAAGGTCAGAAGTGGGGATGTTCGCCGATGATTGCACAACGTTCAGCACCATTCGTGACTCTTCAGATACTGAAGCAGTCCATGTTCACATGCAACAAGCTCTAGGCTTGGGCTGACAAGTGACAAGTGACAGGGAACAATCCTGCCACAAAAATGCCGGGCTTTGACCATCATCAAGAGACAATCTAACCACCGCCCCTTGACATTTCAATTGTGTTACCATCACTGAATCCCCCACTATTAACATTCTGGGGGTTACCATTGACCAGAAATTCAACTGGACTCACCACATTAACACAGTGGCTACAAGAGCAGGTCAGAAGCTAGGAATACTGTGGCAAGTAACTCACCTCCTGACTCCCCAAAGCCTGTCCACCATCTACAAGGTGCAAGTCAGGAGTGTGATGGAATACTCCCCACTTGCCTGGATGAGTGCAGCTCCAACAACACTCAAGAAGCTTGATTGGCACTACATCCACAATTATCCACTCCCTCCACCACTGACGCTCAGTAACAGCAGTGTGTACTATCTACAAGATGCACTGCAGAAATTCACCAAAGATCCATTGACAGCACCTTCCAAACCCACGACCAATTCCATCTTGAAGGACAAGGGCAGCAGCATAATGGGAACACTATCACCTCCAAGCCACTCACCATCCTAACTTGGAAATATATCGCTGTTCCTTCACTGTCACTGGGTCAAAATCCTGGAATTCCGTCCTTAAAGCATTGTAGGTCAACCTACACACATGGACTGCAGTGGCTCAAGAAGGCAGCTCACCACCACCTTCTCGAGCAACTAGGGACGGGCAATAAACGCTGGCCCAGCCAGCAGCGCCCACATCCCACAAATGAATACATTAAAAAAAAACCCACCATCACCAGGTACCCTAAAATTGAGAACAAGGTTCCAATTGTACTCAATTTAAACATGTTGCACTGTAATTTATCTGGAGTACTATGCACAGTTTTGATTCCCTTGAGTAAGAATGTAATTGCATTGGAGGCAGTTTATAGAAGGTTCACTAGATTAATTCCAGAGATGAAAGACTTGTCTCATGAGGGACAGATTGGTCTAAACTGCTCAATCAGCTTTCATTGTTTTCTACTTTTAAGAAGTATTGCTGAAAAGAAAGACATTTTGTCAAAGCTATTTGATTTGCAAGTTTCCAGAGTTTAGAAGAACGAGAGGAGATGTAATTGAGGTATTTAACATGCTAAAGGGGATTGACAAAGTAGACATAGAGTGTATGTTTCCCCTGTGGAATGAGATGTCATAATCTTAGGGTAACAGGTGGCAGATTTACAACAGAGATGAGGAGAAGTCACTTTTCTCAAATGTCTGTGAATCTGTGGAATTCACTACCTCAATAGTAAGGTGGGTGCTGGCAGACTGAATAAATTTAAAGGGGAGATAGGCTGATTTTTATGGAGTAATGGTTTAAAGGATTATGGAGAGCAGGCAGGAAGGTGGAGTTGAGGCCAAGATGATATCAGCTGTGATCATATTGAACGGTGGAGCAGGCTCAAGAGGCTGAATGGCCTACTCCGTAGTTAGTTCTTACATTCCTCCGTAATTGCCCAGATAAATGCACCTAACAAGCCCTACAGTCTCCAATCTTTTCATTGAGCAACTTTTTTACTTTTGCTCCGTCAGAATGCTTGCAACAGATTTCGTCTGTCCTGGAACAGCTGAACGCTCAGCATAACTGGAAGTGGATGATTCATTTCAAAGAACTCAAAAAACTGAAGGAGACGGCAAGGTTGGTTTGGTCTGAAGGTTCTGCCAGCTGCTGAACCTACTAGCAGTGGCAGTGGAGCCCTGATACTCCTCCAGTCAGGGAGAGTTGGCTTTTGGTCACTTCCTAGGGACTCTTTGTCTGGTTCCTGTGGGTAAGGGTGACAGGGAGAAGCAGTATGGTGTTAATCTGACCAGCTCCAAAGTGGGTAGATAAAGGCAACACTTCTTCCTTTACTTCTTGAAAACTGACTTAGTTGTGATTTACATTTTATGTATTTTCTAGTTGGCCTGTTAGGACCCCCCTCTAGAGTAGGTGGGACTTGAACCTGGACCTCCTGGCTCAGAGGTAGGGACACTACCACAGTGCCAGAAGAGACCTCCTCCTTAAGTTCTTAGATATTTTCTAATCAACCTGTTCAAAGATGTTATTACACACCTCTAATGCAGGTGGAACTTAAACCCAGGCCTCCTGGCTTAGAGGTAGGAACACTACCACTGTGTCACAGGAGCTCCTATTGAATTACACTTTTAGGAAACAAACACAATAATTTTAACCTATGTTCTTGGGAACACTGTAAGATTATGACCAGCCGCAAGGGTAAATTATTGCGTCCTAAAATGTGCCCAGATGTCAAAGTGATGTGAAGTAGGTTCTCTTAAAATGTCTGGAAATCATCCCTGAGCAGCAACTGTGGCTTAGATGGTGGCATTGCTTCCTCAGAATCACAATGTGGCGAATTCAAGTGCAGAGATGTCAGTGCAGATCTGAGGGTTACCTGATTCAGATAGGTATGAAAAATCGCATAGTACCATTTTGATGGAGCACAAGAGGGATTCTCCCCAGGCTGTGGCCCAATTTTTGTCAAAACCTGCAGGGCTGCCTGGTCATTCATTGAGTTTTTGTTTGTGTAATGTTGTTGTAGACAGGAGTTTGCCTGAAAACATTTTGACAAAATGAGTGGTGTGACGGAGCAGTGTTTAGCACTGCTGCCTCACAGCACCAGGAACCTGGGTTTGGTTCCTTGGGTGACTGTCTGAGTGGAGTTTGCATGTTCTCCCTGTGACTTTGTGAGTTTCCTCTGGGTACTCCAGTTTCCTCCCACAGTCCAAAGATATGCAGGCTAGGTGGATTGGCCATGCTAAATTGCATACTGTGTCCAGGGATGTGCAAGCTAGGTGGACTAGCCATGGGAAATGCAGGCTTATAGGGGTGGGTCTGGGTAAGAGGATTGGTGTTGATGCATTGGGCCGAATGGCCTACTTCCACAGTGTAGGGATCAGGCTTTTAACAGAAGCATTTCATTGACTGTAGAATACTTTTTAGATGTCCTGAGGATATGAAACATATTACCTAGCTGAATTGGCTTGGTTGCAAGGGACTATTTTGGTGAATGACATTTGAATTGTTCCATTTTACTGTTGGCCTCAGAATGTATTTACTTGCTTGTGTGTATTGATACAGAGAAGACAACACTGCAAAGAGAAAAGTTTCTCTGTTGACGCGGAAGATTGCAGCAAACCTTGTGGAAGTTCTCCCTTTCCACACGTGTGATTCCAGGTCCAGGGAGAAGCCTGACTATCTCAGCTGTCTCATGAAGCTGCAGGTTCAGAAAATAAGTTCCAGGTTTGCAGTGTTTCTTACAGGTGAGATATGACAGTATCGCTTGTAATGGGTGATGTGATGATCCTTAGAAGAATGAGAAGATATTGTTTGAAGTGAAAATTGAGATGGTTGATGGCTATTCATTTATAGTGCCTTGGACAGTAATTGTGAAACAAATTTTGCATTTAAGTTTTACTTAGAGGGGTGAAAGCAAACCCAATTTTTGAGAACACATCTGTATTCTCCACTGTCTCAAGCTAGCTGCAAGTCAAGACGGGTTACAACAAGCAAAAGCATATTGAAGTACTGACCAAAACCAGAATCACTGGCCTTTTGTAGTCTAGGCTTGGAATTTCCTCTGGAGGATAATCGAGGCAGCATCGGACCTTTTAAAAACACAAAAATTTGGGCCACGAAAGCTGATGAGAATGAATGGAATATTTACAGTAGAGCATTTGAAGGATCAGGCAGTAAGTGTGAAGCAGCAATGCTGCTACGTGCCCAGGAAGTGGAATGCATTGTCTTAAATCTTTTGTCATAGAATTGCACAGAAGTGATAACACAGAAAACAGAGCAATCAGGCCACCTGCTCTGTACTGATCTTGTTGCTTCACTTGAACTTGTGCTTACCATGCTTCATCCAACCTACCCTCATATTCCGCTAGGTATCCTTCCATCCATCAGAACATTCATGAATTCATCTATTGTTTTGGTTTAAAAGGCAAGACCAAATGGTTTTTCTAATATAGAAAATGAGGTTTGGTTTTATCCTGGGAAAAATGTTGCCAAAGAACAGAGATTTTAACCAAGAGTATCTAATGGGAATCAAAGGCTTAATGCACTCACGAGATCAGTAAAGGACCGTAGTTATTGATTGGAGAGAATCGTGAATAAAACTTTGTGTCTGCAGTAGAAAATAAACATTTGTCAGCAAATGAACAGCAATGAGAATTCACATTAATTAGTTACAGGAACTTGCATGCTTCATCGAACTAAATTGTAAGAATGTAACAACTGACATGATATTATCAGTGGAGTCAGCATTTTGGGTCCAAGCTGCCCTTTAGGTCTCTCCAAATGCAAATCTGTTTTTTGAAAAAATAAACCGAATGCTTCTGCCGCACACAGAATAAGTTGAGTTTATCTCACTTGGACCTAATCCCCATTCTGCCACTTGCCCACAATGTGAAGTACAGAAAAAGCGCATTTGGTGTCTGCTGATGTTTCTGCTCCACACCTCACCCTATAGAACATGGAACATAGAATGTAGAACATAGAACAGTACAGCATAATACAGGCTCTTCGGCCCACAGTGTTGTGCCGACTTACTATCCTACTAAGATCAATCTACCCTGCATACCCTACATTTTACTATCCTCCATGTGCCTATCCAAGAATCGCTTAAATGTCCCTAATGTATCTGACTCCACTACCACCGCCGGCAGCGCATTCCACACACCCACCACTCTCTATGTGAAGAACCTTCCTCTGACATCTCCCCTATACCTTCCTCCAATTACCTTAAAATTATGCCCCCTCGTAATAGTCATTTCCGCCCTGGGAAAAAGTCTTTGACTATCCATTCTATCTATGCCTCATCATCTTGTATACCTCTATCAAGTCACCTCTCATCCTTCTTCGCTCCAATGAAAAAAGCCCTAGCTCCCTCAACCTTTCCTCATAAGACCTGCCCTCCAGTCCAGGCATCATCCTGGTAAATCTCCTCTGCACCCTCTCTAAAGCTTCCACATCTTTCCTATAATGAGGTGACCAGAACTGAACAGAATATTCCAAGTGTGGTCTAACCAGAGTTTTATAGAGCTGCAGCATAACCTCACGGCTCTTAAACTCAATCCCCCTGCCAATGAAAGCCAACACACCATATGCCTTCTTTACAACCCTATCAACTATGGACGTCTGATCCTATCAATGCAGTGAACTCTTTCCTTGTCCCTCCTGACATTAGCTGGCTTCCCCTTAAATGTACCCATGCCATTCACCTTCTTAGAACAAGCAAGTTCCACATTATCATCACTCTCTGGGTGAAGATATTTCTTTGGTTAAGATTTATTAGTGACTAGAAATATTTGGGGCCCATCGTTTTGGACTGCTTCACAAGTAAAAGCAATGTCTCTGTATCCACTCTACCATCATTTTAAAGGGAGATATGCATGGAAAGTTCTTTACGCAGAGGGTGGTGGGTGCCTGGAACGCGTTGCCAGCGGAGGTGGTAGAGGCAGGCACGATAGCGTCATTTAAGATGCATCTAGACAGATACATGAATGGGCAAGGAGCAGAGGGATCAGATCCTTGGAAAATAGGTGACAAGTTTAGAAAGAGGATCTGGATCGGCGCAGGCTTGGAGGGCTGAAGGGCCTGTTCCTGTGCTGTAATTTTCTCTGTTCTTTGAAGCTTGAGGTATCATGTCATTTCCTGAGAAAAACAAAGATTGAGACATGACTCCAGTCTTTTCAGATTTAAGTATAGGGTCCAGGCTGACACTCAAAATAGGGTTTCACTGGGCGCTGCAGGTAGCAGGTGATAGGTGGGGTATTAATTGAAGTCCTATGTTTCTGGTGAACACCAGGTGTGATAATACAACATGGAAGAATAGTCATCTCCTGGGGTTGTGATCAACCTTCCTCCTTTCATGAGAAATATAAGGAAGGTATGAACTGGTCAGTGGTCTTGCCTGCTGTAGATTGCATTGGGTGTAGTTTCTGACCTTCCAAAATAAAACGTGACTGACCTTCCAAGAAGTGAATTAATGGTGAAGTGCTTTTGAAATGTTCTGAGGATGAATTCCAATACAATACTCAAAACTGAATTTGAAAGCTTTTTTTTTGTAGGAGGGTGCGGTGAGAAGGCAAATAATTGGAGTTAAGACACACTCCAGCCTCAATCTAAATGAATGGGGCCATAGTCTGATTAGCCTGTGTAACTACAAAAAAAAATTGTATTTTTCTTTCCTTTATAAAACAAAAGGAACTTCTTTTCAAATGTGCTGTCTTTTCATAAGAATGTCTTTTGAAAATGCGATCGTGAAGTGCTAATTTGCAAGCCAGTTAAAACAATAGTAAATTATGCTGCCTTGTCAATTTTTTAGGGAAACTTGAGAACCGAGATCTTTTCGCACAAAGTGGAATCCTTGTTACAGATGTAAACAGTTTTACTAAAGGTTTGAGAATGCTAACAACCTCTACACAGGACACTTTGGACACAGAAAATGGTAATTTATATAATTGATTTATAATTTATCGCTTTTTGATTTTTTTGCTGAAATTGGAAGGATTAGTCATTGTAGAAGTCTATATAATCAACAATGAGTTCATAGAAGCAAGTTCAAGCGACAGGGCTGGAGGGGAGAAAAGCAGAGATCACTCATAATGTCAGTAAGCTTCAAAGAACAGAGAAAATTACAGCACAGGAACAGGCCCTTCAGCCCTCCAAGCCTGCGCCGATCCAGATCCTCTTTCTAAACTTGTCACCTATTTTCCAAGGATCTGATCCCTCTGCTCCTTGCCCATTCATGTATCTGTCTAGATGCATCTTAAATGACGCTATCGTGCCTGCCTCTACCACCTCCGCTGGCAACGCATTTCAGGCACCCACCACCCTCTGCGTAAAGAACTTTCCATGCATATCTCCCTTAAACTTTTCCCCTCTCACCTTGAAATTGTGACCCCGAGTAATTGAGTTCCCCACTCTGGGAAAAAGCTTCTTGCTATCCACCCTGTCTATACCTCTCATGATTTTGTAGACCTCAATCAGGTCCCCCCTCAACCTCCGTCTTTCTAATGTAAATAATCCTAATCTACTCAACCTTTCTTCATAGCTAGCGCCCTCCATACCAGGCAACATCCTGGTGAACCTCCTCTGCACCCTCTCCAAAGCATCCACATCCTTTTGGTAATGTGGCGACCAGAACCGTACACAGTATTCCAAATGTGGTCGAACCAAAGTCCTATACAACTGCAACATGACCTGCCAACTCTTGTACTCAATACCCCGTCCAATGAATGAAAGCATGCCGTATGCCTTCTTGACCACTCTATCGACCTGCATTGCCACCTTCAAGGTACAATGGACCTGAACACCCAGATCTCTCTGTGCATCAATTTTCCCCAGGGCTTTTCCATTTATCGTATAGTTCACTCTTGAATTGGATCTTCCAAAATGCATCACCTCGCATTTGCCTGAATTGAACTCCATCTGCCATTTCTCCGCCCAACTCTCCAATCTATCTATATTCTGCTGCATTCTCCGACAGTCCCCTTCACTATCTGCTACTCCACCAATCTTAGTGTCATCTGCAAACTTGCTAATCAGACCATCTATACCTTCCTCCAGATCATTTATGTATATCACAAACAACAGTGGTCCCAACAC